ACGGATGAGCGTACGCAACATCATCTGAGCGGTCTGGTGTGCTCGTTCCGTCTGACCATCCGTCTGCGGGTGCCGAGCCGAGCTCGGTTTCATTGTCGTACCGGACTCAGCCATAAGGGAAGTCCAAAAGGCTGACATGAAACGAGTATCTCGGTCGCTCACAGTCTTTCGGAACACCTTGGTTGGTAATCCAACCGGTGTGCAAGAGTCGTGCGAGCTCAGGCGCTGCAGCATGATACTTGCAAGGAAGGAAGCGAGCATACTTCCTCAAACGGTCAACGACCGTGAGAATACCATCATGGCCGTGGCGATCGCGGGGAAACGTGCCTGTCACGTCCATAGCAATGGAGAGGCGTGGTGCCTGAGGAATCGGCAACGGTTTCAGTTCGCCGAAGGGGACTCGAGATCGACCCTTGTTATTGTGGCAGACTGTACATGACTCAATGTACCTCGCGACGTCGTGAAGGAGGTCGGGCCAGTGAAAACGCTGGCGGAGGCGTGCTAGTGTGGTTCACGCCAAGGTGAGCCGAAAGTCGTGCGTCATGGAATTTGCCGAGAAGACGAGTTCGTAAGATGCGATCTTGGGGCACCACTAACAAGTTCTTTCCTCTCGTGTGAAGGAGAAGGAACCCGTCGGAAATCCAATAGTGGCTAGCCGGCGGGTGATCCGATGAAAGCTCTGCGTAAAGCGTAGAGTAAGTCGGATCGGACTTGTAGCCTTTGACGAAATGCTGCTGCAGATCGTCATCGAGGTTGAATGCCGTGGTCACAATGGCACAAAAGTCGGGCCATCGTGAGAGGGCGTCCGCATCTCGATTGGCGGGACCGGGAATGTGACACGGGTCAAAATCGAACTGGTCGATGTAATACATCCGTCGACTGATCGTGCTAGTGACCGTGTCCTGTGTTTTATAAAAGGTCCACGGATTGTTGTCCGTATTCCATTTGAAACGCCGACGGCCGAGAAGAAAGTGGCGCCAACGGTGACGAACGCAAGTAGCTCTTTCTTCCTAGCGTCGTCGAGAGTGTTGACGAGAGGCACCTATTGGGAGAAATACTCAACCGGATGCCAACCGTCCTCGTGACACTGTTCCAACACCGCACCAATACCGTATCCCGAAGCGTCCGTAGTCACTTGGGTGGGTAGGGTGGGGTCGTATATACGGAGGGCAGGTGCGGCTTGCATCGCTGCCTTCAACGCAGTGCTGCGTTGTCGAACTCAAAGGGCACCTTCGGGGACTGAAGTCTCGACAAAGGAGCGGCCACTTTCGAGTATGACTCGACGAATCGCTGATAATATCCAGCC